CAAACCTGTGTGAGTGTCAGTGTAATGGACTGGCTGCACAGAATGTCCTTCAAGCTGAAACACTCCTTGGGAGCTTTTTCCCCCAATCCCTTTGTTGCAGGGTGGATGATTTTGCTCCTTCCTGAGTTTCAGGACACTGAAAAGTGCCCACCTTTGGTGTTCTCCCATACTAAATTCTGCTGACAAGGTCAGCAGATACTGCAAAGAGAACAGGTTGCAACATGATTGGTTGTTTAGTGGAAAAGCATTACATTTACTACTGTTCTTGAGAGAATTCAGAGAGACTGGGTAGCTTACACAGCTCTCTCATTCCCAAGGGAAATCTGGGAACTAATCGGGGAGAACTGGAGCCAAACTTTGGGCAAAACTGAAGCTACTCAATTTTGCTTAATGTGGCTAATCTCAATTCCAAAAGCCAATGAGTGAACCTCAGGGATTAAATATGTCTAACCCTTGAAAATTCCTTTGAATTCCTCTGAAAAGTCAATTGACCAAACATTATTTGTGGAAAGAATACGGGTTTTTATATGACCTTGGATCCAAATGGTTTAGAAGGTCTGGATTTAAAACCATACAAGTTGAGGTTTCAAAGACCTGAATTTTTGTTTTGCAAACATGGTGTAAAATGAGACTGATAGGTTTTGTTCAAAACTTTCAAACTGGCCATTTGCTGAAAGAGCACATGTATTGGTAAAATGAAATTTTAATAGAAGTTGCACTGTGCCATGTTCCTGTCATTTATGGAATTTCTGGACATAGCTTTTAAATAGGAGTAATAATTAGTGAAGCAAATCACAATACACGTAATACCTTTAATGGAAGCACTTCATGGTAGGCATGTTTTCATATTTGATTGTTTAGTGATTTTTTTCATTACCTTTTGTATGGATTTAGGGTGTGGAAAGGGAAGTTATGACAGCATTGGTATCACATTCAAAAAGAAAAGTGTTGAATAAATACTCTTTTTGAAGTAACTTTTGAAACAGCAACTAGAATACAGGGACTGGGTGCTGTCATTAAGGATGACCTTAAAAATGCTTTATAACCAGCTCCTATATCTGGATAAACTTGCTCTCTCTGGCAACACACATTCAGGTTGAGGTTCCACAGAGTGCCATGGGGAGTTTTGCTGAACTATCCAGCTCCATTGTACCAGATGGTACCGTATGGAGGTAACACTGATCCTGTGACTCTGTTGATTTGTAATTAGGTTTCTAGTAATTAATATAGTTTGCAGGCCTTGCATGAACTCTGCAGATTGCCCATTCATGTAAATGATTAACTGAAAGGGGATTAATCCTGGCAGAAGTTCAACCAAAAAGAATTTTCCAGACTGAAAATCTTCTCTATCAGTCTAGTAGATTGTAATAGAGACTGAAAGTTAAGTTTGCATTTGTTTTACTCCATTTTAAAAGGAGTAACTTGATATCTGAGTGTTAGAAGTATCTGCACTGTGTGTATAAATGTACATTTGCTGCAATAGACCTATAAGTCTTGCTTTTTATGGAATTCAAAATGAATATCCAATGACTTAGTAGTTGGGAAAATCTACTTATTGTCACTATTATTTAATAGGAGGTAATGTAAAATCTGTCTTTGAAAAAAAGAATATGGTTTAGAATTCTACAGTTTGTGTTTAGCTGCTCGTGCTGGAATATGCAAAGGTTGGAATTCTTGCAACTATAATAAATCAGTGACAACAGGGGCTGTCACACAGCTTTGCACACAACCAGTTCATCCAGCAGTAGCCCTTGCAAGACTATCACAGAATCCCAGAATGGTTTGGGTTCAAAGGGACTTTAAAGCTCATCCAATTCCAAACCCCTGCCATGGGCAGGGACACCTTCTGCTCTCACAGGTTGCTCCAAGCCCCGTCCAACCTGGCCTTGAACCTGGCCTTGTTCTGCCAAGCTTGCAGCCCCTTCAGCTCAGGCAGGCATTCCCTGGGGATTGCTCCTCCCAGCCTGTTGTGTGTGCAGTCTCTTCTGAAGGATTTTGTCTGGCCCTCAAGCCCTGCAGCTCTGTGGCTCTAAAGAAAGTCAGCATCAAATTAGTGGGTGACACAGATGTTTGGCACAAGCAACACAGCCTCAGTGCCAGCTGAGGGATTCCCAGCTGTGTGGGCAAGGCTGAATTCCCCTGTCTCAATCAATGACAGAGGATGAATGGAAGGGTCAGAGCAGGAGAGAGAGGATGGCAAGAGCTGTGGAGAGCATGGTTTGATGTGTGTGGCTGGCAAAGAGGAGGGCAGCAAACCTGGTGCTGGACCAGGCCACTCTTCCCTTACCCTCCCTTGGCAGCAGCTCCTGGCACATGTGTTCTGAGTCAGCCCAAAAGTGTGACACCTGAAACTGCCAGAGTCAACCATGGGGCAGTGAACATTTTTCCAGCCCCTCCAATTTCTTGCTGCATTTAAGTGCCCCCAACAAATCAGGCCAAGCAAGAGAATCCTGCAGTGGCAAAGGTAGGGAAGAGAATTTCCATGGAAGCAAACAAAGGTCACAGTGTTATTAAGTGCTGCAGGACTCAGATTGTCAATAATCTCTAACAGATAAATATCCCAAATCATTACATTCTATATAAATATTGGGCCAAGTGCCTCCCTGATGTAACAGTGGTTGTATGGCAGCAAGGATGGGTTTAGTCTAGTGTGTTTAGACTCTGTATTATTTTAACCAGATGCTTGGGGGTTTGTTTTCCTCTAGTGGATAATAAGGGCCATCCAAAACAGAGTTGCTGATTTGCTTGGGTTTCATTGAAAGAGACACTACTAAAGGGAGAGGAAATCCCCAAAATGATACTCAGTGATTAAGCACATAGAATATAGGATTTCAGTGTTTGCAAATCCTTTTTTTCAAATGAACTTGTGGCACTAATCCTCTAATGGCATTATTTCTTTGGAATATATGCCGGATTAAGGAGTCACAATGAGGCAAAGTACAAAAATCCACATTAATCTCTCCCTGATGGATGCTGTGTGGGATGCAACTTAAACTATTTTGTTCCAAAACTGGTTCTGTTCCTAACCTTGCCCCAGGTCTAGACAGAGGGAAGAGCAGATATAAACAAGTGTGACACTGAGCACTCAGCAGATGGTCACGGGCCATTTAACTGGATACAAAGGGGAAGGCATCTATTATTTTTAAACTCCAAAAGCAAAGCCTGCCCTGTGCTGTCCATGACACGCTGCAGGAAGCAGACGTAGGGCTCTGACAGGCCAGGAGCAGGACTCCTGTTCAGAAGTGTGGCAGGGAGGAGATGGACAGAGAAACTAACTGGGCACCGCTGGGCCTGGCTGTTGTGATATATCACATGCTCACAGCACAGCCTGGGCCTATTGCAAAGTGCTGCTCATGTAAAAAGTTAAAGACTTGCTTTTAAGGAGGAGGAGACCAGGTGTTTCCCTTCTCATGGGATTACAGGAATGCTATCATAGTGCCCTGGGGTATTGTCACTTATTCAACAGCCTCAAGTGGTGAAATAACTTCTGAACTGGCAGCACATCACTTGAAATACTGATGTCAGAGCATGTGAGTTAGCCCAGCCTAACCACTGTAATTGGTGCTTAACATGCTTAAGGATTTCCCCAGTTTCACAGGACAGAGATTATCAAATATTCCCATTCCATGTTCTCACTGAACTGCAGTGGGCATTGAGAACTCTTGGGCCAGGACAGCCCAGGACATGTTCACAAACACGGGTTGCTTGTTTCATTCTCAGTCATTCTGTTGTTAAGCACAAGCAAAGAACTGTCAAATTCAGTTCTTTACCAACAGAAATGCTGGGATTTTCCATTGTCTGCATAGCTGAGATGCCTGGACACATGAATTAGCACAAATTCCTGATGTGGATACAGGTCTATAGTGAGATGCTGGTTTCAGAAGCTGAGACAGGACAACCACTCCTAGTGTCAGAAAACCCTAAAGCCAACTTGGAGACAATTTCTGTTCGGGAATAGAAGTGTGCCCTCCCTTCCTACAGAAAAAGATAGTTGATTACAATGGTTTTGTGCATTTCTAGCTGCTGTAAATGTTTCCCAGCATGGGAAGCTCTCATGGGCAAGAGGATTTTCCTGATGTTCCCATTAAGTTTTTGTTCTTCTCATCTTACCCTGTTGACTCCTTGCAGCACCCAGTGCCTCATTCCACCGTGTCTGAATCCCTTGTCTAATTTCACACCGAGTCAAGCCTGTCCTCAGGCTGGTGTCTGCTCAGCTGCTTGCAAATGAATTGTTGGTTTTGTTTACCTGCTTTATCATTCCCCACCAAAATCACTCCAGTTTGCATGTGTCTTTAGTGTATACAGACTCGTGGGTGGTCCCTTGTATTTAAGGAAGTATAAATTATATTGCACCAGGTGCAGACAAAGGTGAGCAGGAAATGATAAGGGAAATGGAGAATTTGCCACATGAAGGGAGAAGGGTTTGGCTGGTTTAGCCTGCAAAAGGGAAGAGCTCATAGACTGAAAAAGATTATCAAGGCTAAAGAGATTCAGCATAAATGGCCATGAACATGGTTAAGAAAGAAATTGTGATATTTGCCACTGAGAAAATCAGACTGAAGGACAGACAGGCTAAAAAGGGTGTACTGGAGTTTGAGGTGTATATAAGGTGTGTCCAATGATTGCATTGTAATGTTGTGACATGGTATTGCCCAGAAGATGATGGTGACTTCTCTTGTCTCCTGTTGCCCTAAAATGATCAGGAGTGTCCGTCCTCCCTTTTTCTTACTGAGCTGTGCAACATCCAGCTGACAGCAGGACTCTGCTCAGCCTCCAGCACTACTGCTGACCAGTATGGACAAAAGGGGTGGGAAAACCAAAAGCTTTTCTTCAGGTACTCTTGTAATCTGATCTCTGCGGTGACTCAGCCTCTTCTAGCAACAGCTGTGTCAGGGACATGCAGTGGTTTGTGAGCAGAAGCGAAGATTTTGCTGCTACTTCCTGATTTCTGCCTTGAGAGTGATCTAAGCTGGGCACGATCGGAGCATTTAAATGGACTTCTGAGCCCCAGGAATGGCAGACTTTGGGATAGAGTACAGAGGAATAGAGGCATCAGGAAAGAGCTCACAAACCACTTGTGCAGAGCTGCTGCTATCAAACTGATGAAGACAGAAACTTGTGAGAGAAAACTGCCCAGAAAGTTCCTATTAAGGAAAAGAGTGAGGCTTTGTTTGCATGTCATGGCTCACCTATCCCACAAATCCTGAAGGTGCTGTAAAAACTGAAAACTGTGAAAGGGATCCTCAGGTGTACCCATGGAAAAGACAGGTATGTTCTTTGTTTAAAATAATACCTCTCTACTGCAAGAAATCAAAGTCAGGAAAAGCAGGATTGCTCTAGAGCTCAGTAGCCGTGCATGTACATCGAGGTACATTGGTTTGTATCAATTTCGTATTTCTAAGGAATAGAGCTGTGACAGCAGATTAATGCCAGATTTTAAACAGTGCCTCAGCTTTTTGTAAGTGCTCTGCTCTTGAACACTTGTACCATGGCTATGATAGATGGTTGGATGGAGGCAACGGTGGCAAATTCTCAGTGCATGTGCCATCATGAAAAAAGGTAAGCAAGAGTAAATGTTACTAAATCTAATTCTGCCTGCTGATCCCTTGAAAGATGACCAGAACTGCCAGGATAGACATGAAGAGGACAACCCAAAGAGTTCCCCGTTTGACTTTGTTATGAAACAGTTCCAAGGAAAGAAGTGTGCTCCTGAAAAAAGCAAAGAGAAGCCTTCAGCCATAAAACAATTCTTCAAAGGCTTTGACTTTGGGAAATCTGAAGACAAGGACAGAAGGGAAATTGAAGAAACAGAAGTAAACAATGCTGAAGCTGATGATCAGAGTGAAAAGCAAGATCGCTCTGTAGAAGGTAATGTTGGTACAATAATGAAACACATGTGTATGTGTATATATTTTAATTTCTTAGAAAATCAGCTGTTTTCTTGCTAGCCAAAATCCTATATTCCCTGCCTACAGTTTATCCTCTAGCCAGGATTTACTTCTGATTGGAACATTATCAAGGATGTACCCTCTGATTTGATAGGTGCTAGGCAATGAGTTAGATCCACATTGCTGAGGAAGGGTAAAGCTTTTGTGTGACTTCTGTCTTGGTCTGCAATATGAGAGTCTGTGCAGAAGTCAGCTCATTAATTCCAGAGCTTATTTGGTTTCAGAGCCAAGCTTTGAGGAGTAGCTTGTTGTATTTAAGATGGGTTTCTGTCCTGCTGTCTTGCTAAAGCACTCTGAAGACAACAGGAACAGATTTTTTTCATCACTTGGCACTGGGCAGGGGGAGGGGAAGGGAATGGGAATCCCTCATGGATATTATTTTGCACACACAAGAATACTCTTTACATCCACTCCAGAGAAAATGGAACTATTTTTCAAAATATGAAAGATGAAACTTAAGAACCCCATCCTTTGTCCTAAGGGCTCTGGGTCAGTTTGGGGAAGTGATACTGGTAGCTACTGAGAGCGGATTGCTATTTTCTGTAATTTTTTGCTTTGCAAAGCCCAGAAAAGCAGGAACTACCTTACACAGACGTATGAAAATGCAACAGGAGCTTTGTACTGATTTCATCTATAGTGATCTTATCAATCAGGTTGTTGGCCCACATTGATTAAAAAATAGAGCCTGCTTTATTGACAGATTTAATTCATTTCCTAAAGTCTTCACCTGGCAGCCTCAGGCAGGTTTTACACCTTGTGTTTATTAGCAGAGGTAACCAGGTTCCTATTTCTTTGTTGCTCAGATGGACTTTCACATCTCCCTTCTGAAGCAGAGTCACCATCTGGTGAGCAGAGATTTAACCAGTTCATGGAGAAACTGGGAAAGAAACCCAACAGCAAGAATCTGGATCTAAATAATTGTGCACTAAGTGCAGCAGATATAACAGAGCTGGGTAAATGCACATTTTATTCAACTAATCACTTCATGTATTTCTTTAATTTTTATTTGCCTGTTCTATTACTCCCTCTCCTCTTTTCCCTTCCCTTTCTTTTATACAGGCCATATTAACATTTTATCTAATAGTCCCAGGTCCCTAAGAAATATTAATTTTAAATTATATAAATTATGTAATATATATAAATATAGAAGTCATCCAGGTCTGTGAAGCAGATGAATGTCAAGATACAGGTAAGAAGAGCGAGGTACAAATTGTCATGGCTTTATAATTCTGTATTGGTTGTAGAAAATATCTCAATATTAAGAGATATCCAGGGTGTGCAGAAACACACAAACAGAAAAGCTTTTGCTTTTCTTTCTTTACAGCTTCCTTATTGCCGTTTCTCCCAGAGCTGGAAGAGATCAGCCTGTCCTGGAATGGTTGTGTTGGAGGGACTTTGAAAGCTCTCACTGTCCATCTTCATCATGTGAACCTGTTAAAAGTCCTCCGACTTAACAACTGCAGGCTGACAGCTGAGGATGTCATCTCCTTAGGTACAGGATTTCATTTACATTTACTTCCAGACAGCTTGGGGCTAATGTCATCCATCTCATCTCTTCCTACATCCTACTCCTCCTGCTTCCACACTGGGCAAGGTAAACTCCTGCTGTGAAACAGCAGAAACTTGGGCTTATGGGTGACCATATACCTTTAGGTAGCTCTGCAGAGTTCATTCCTCAGGGTGTGAAGCTTTCACATGCAGAAGGGAAGAAAGAGAATCCAGTCCTGTTTGCAGGAAAGACTATTTTTAATCTGGATTACTAGTTTTTGCCTAGAAGCAGAGTCAATCACAATAGGGTCAGCTTATGTCTTGGAGCTGCAGTACAGGTGCTCATCATGAAAACCCCAATGGTCTTTTGGGAGAAGACTTAAAACCAGAAGTGCTGCCTCAGAGCTTTATGACTTGGTGCTTTTTCTAGTCTGGGAGAAGCTTATTCCTCTGCTTACTACTTTGCTTGGAGTGCCTGCACCCTGCTTTCTGCAAAGCATGAGATGGAAAGGTTTTTAAGGTGGTGTTACATACTCAGGTTCTGGCAGAGTCACCTCTGGGCCTGGAGTTTACTCTGGAGTGGATCTATGACTTGTATATAAAAGAAAGGAGAACACAATCAATTAGGAATTAGAAAAGTTACTGCTCATTTTAGGAGTTCTAAAAGGGGTCTGAATTATAAAGCTGGCATTTGTTTATGTCATTCATATCGAAGCCTTTTCGATGAAAGGTTCAGAAATAAAATTACATATGTGGTGGTAGATCAAAAGTGAGTCATGCAATCTCTTGGGGAGGAAATAAGCATCTCTTCAAAAGCAGGTGAAAATAACTGCTGTTTCTGATGAGTATGAAAACTGTATTTCATTTTCTCAGATTTATTTCAAATTTATTTAATTCTTTTTCAAACCCTTCTCAGAGATTTGGGTTTTGGTTTTTTTTTCCTTCTAAGTTGTATTGGTTATTTTTCTAATTGATTTATTCTGCCGGGTTCTTCAGTGCTGTTTCCTTCCCAGTTTGGTTTAGCTTCTGCTGGGACAGACACAAAATTGATCACAGAATTTAAATTTCCAGTCAAAATGTGATTCCCTTGACATGTGGAATAGCAACAGTCAGTTTGCATTGATTTTGCCTGTGATTTTGAAAACAACTTGTCTATTTAGGTCAATCCTGGCTCTGTGGCCTTGTCCACATCTCTTTGCAGAAATGTGGCCTTTTGTGGACTCAGCACATCCTGCTTAGAAATCAATGTCTGCAATGTAACCATAACATCAACCTATTCTACGTGGTTGCTCAGATCTTGACTGTGAGAGGTGATAGGAAACCATTCCTGGAGTTATATTCCTTTGTTTATCTTCTGGGAGGAAAATGTGTCTGGAAATCTATAGTCCTCATGTCAAACAGAAATAGGCTATGCTGCACTTCTCAACTGTTGAGCATTGCTCATTATTCAACACTGAGGCAATAATTTAAAATAAATGCAAATATTAAAATGAAGACGTGTCCTTTCCTCTCAAACCCGGATATTCACTTACAGAAAGAATTATTTTTCTATTATAAATCTTTTGTGAAAAATTAATTATGAAAGCCACACAGACATGAAAGGCTATTACTATTAAAATACAATTCTCAATTATTAGACTTTAGGTCAAAAAATTGTGTATGACACTTTGAAATTTCATTTGCATATGATCTGATTCATTGATCTTTCTTGGGAATGAGCTTATGCAAATATGCTCTGCCTCCCTCCTCTACAAAGGAAGTTAGGAAGCTGGATTTTACAGTGGGATGTTAGTATTTCAAATAAGCACTAGCACAGTTCACACTGGCAGGTGTGTCAAGCCTCAAAAAGGCTGATTTTTCTGAATGTAGTAAAAGTCAGTTCTGTCTGCCTTGAAATCATAGGAAAATTAGTTTGAGTCAAAGCAATGCTCATCTTGACTTCTTATGAAGTGAGTCCAAAATTCCTGTCAGAAATGAAACTTTCATGTTTCAGAAATAGTTGTGAGAGGAATTCTTTCATTCCATCTAAAATGACCTGTGGACACAGTACAGAGGATGTTGGAGAATTGCCAAATAAAACAGAGCAGAACTCTGCAGAACAGTAAATTCAGACTTGTCACTTGTATTGATTTCCCTCTAGACTGGACTTTCTGGTCCCAGCACAGACCAAACAGCCTGATGAGGGTTTGGGAACCTGAATAAATTTCAGGTTTGTGTGTACTGTGACAATGACTTGTGATCTATGTTGCTCCCTAGACAATGTGAGATTTTATACAACATAGCTGCAGAGGCAATAATTCATTTATTTAACAATTTTCTTGGCAAGACATTCATTATAAAGTAATCTGAGTATTAAGTAGCTAACCTTCCTCTTTAATATATTCCAAACTTCTATTTTACTTTGCACTGAAATTGATACGTAGAATGAATCACTCTAGACTTCTGTTGCAGGAGAGGCATTTGAAATTGTTTCTCAGCTTGAAGAACTGGATTTATCATGGAACAGTAACATAGGTGGAAAACTATCACTGCTGACAAAAAAACTTCAGGAAGGATGCAAATTAAAATGTCTGAAAATTACGGACTGTAGCCTGACGGCAAAGGATGGAGAATCCCTTGGTATGTGTGTGTCCATTGAGCTGGACTGAGACTGGCTTCATAAAAATGGAACTTGTTTGACTTAGATAATGGCTGTATTGAGATTAATATTAGTGAAAAGTTAATTTATTTCAAGCTCTGCATTATAACAGTATTTATGATGTGGGGATTTAATGCACTTTCTTCCAAAGAAGAATGTTGCTCTCTCTAATCATATGAGGGAGGGTTGAGAAGACCTGAATCACAGTCTGGCTGCCTCAGTGGTCCAGGGTTTCTGGGTCCTTTGAGACCTCCAGCAAAAAATGTGTGCCAGAATTTCCAACACTAATTGCTTGAAATTAAGCATCTGAATATGTAATTAGCCATGGGATTGAAAAGTAGGTCTGAGGATTGGGAATTTAGGCTGAGTTGGCAACCACTGACCACCCTTCCCTTCTGTCCTCTCACCATAACAGCTTAATCCTGTGTGGTCTTTTTATCTCATTGTGTGTTTTGAAAAGTGTTTGCTCAGTAAAGAGAAGTCCCAGGACTCTCATCTCCACTGCAGGGAGCCCCATATGTAACAGACATTCCTATATATTTTCATTAGAAAATTTTCTTTCTCTTTGTATTTCTACTTTTTTTTCCTCTGTATTTTTCTACCAATCCTTGTATTTTTTCACTTTTATTTTTATAAATGTTTTCACAGATTTTCATGATTCCTATCCAATCTTTATTTTACTGTGTTGTTTAGGTAGAACAGGAACTTAGCAAGTCTAAACCACACTGACAGGCAAACCCTGGCCACATCTTCCTGTTTATCATGGTGCTGTATTTTTCTAGGGTTCATCTTTATGTATTCTAGACAATTATTAATTCTGGTTTCCTTTTCTTTTTTTTTTTTTTTTTTTTTTCACAGCTGAAATTCTAAATGTGATCCCAAACCTTGAAGTATTAGATGTCTCTATCAACAAAAACATTGGCTGCAGCATGAAGGTTATTGCTCAGGATCTGAAAAATGTGCCGGGCTTGAAAGAGTTAAACTTGCACATGTGTGGATTAAAGCAAGACAGCCTCCAGGGCTTAGGTTAGACTTTATGTTCAGAAACCTTTCATTCTGAATAAATTGTACATCTGAAAACCATTTAAGAAAGGCAATGAGGTGGGATTTTGCTGATGGTTTGGCAGTATTAATGGGCAATCGTTATTTGCTGTTTGAGGATTGGTAAAAGACTACAGGGCCTTTCAGCAGAAGCTGAATTTATCTGCCCTGAGCTCAAGCTTGTGAAAGTCGGTGGGGAGAGTCACCGTCCACACCATTTATCTGAGACACATCTCAGGGCTGTGGCTCCCTGGATGTGCTTCCTCTTTCCCCAGAAAGAGCACAGACAAGGACACAGATAGGCAAGCTAATTTTTAACAAGCTAATCCTGCTTTCCAAAGGAAACCCAAATTCACCATTATCACTTAAAGAGCGTCCAGTGAAGCCACATGAAATGGGATTGTTATCTATGTCTCTCCCTAGTGGATGTGGCAAAACAACTGGCACTAATGAGCATGTGCAGCAGTGATTTCTGCAAAAGGCTGAGGATTGACTGGAAGTGGGGGATGAGCCGGCCTCACCTTCACCTGCTCTCCCAGAGAAGAATGGAGCTGCATAGGCAGGGAGGCTTTGCTGCATTACTGTGTGTCTGCTGTGATTATACACTGAAGCTTAGCCCAGGAGCTTTGCCTGCAATACCTTGTGCAAACTGACATTGAAGTAAATAGATGCCAAAGCCCTGACCTGGGCTGCTGTGGCAGCCGGTGACCAGCTTGTTTCCATTTCCATTTCAGACACTGCTTTACAGCACCTTGCAGAGCTAAGGAAATTAGATATCTCGTGTAACAGAGAGATTGGTGGTGGCTTTAAAACCTCAACAGCTCATTTGGCCAGCTTGAAAAATCTGGAAGTCCTTGATCTTCACCAGTGCTGTATCACAGAAGAGGACATGACTGTTTTGTGTAAGGAGATGTTGAGGAAATTCATTAAGGATCTCAGTTTTGCCTTCTGAAAATATCTCAAAGACATCAAAGATTCTGCCTGGCAGAAGAAGAGCTGATCTCAGTACTTTTTTCATTAGGCAGCTCTGAAAATGCAGTCTGGGGGAGAGCTTTCTTGATCAACATGGAATGGGTTTTTTGCTGAACAAAAGGAAATCTCAGAGTGTGTGATCCCATGTAGAATTAAGAACCTGAATCTGCTGTGATTCAGATACAGAATGGGAATGTGGGATATGCCACCAAGCACTGCTTTTTTGTGATAATCAATAATTTAGGAAACGTCCATGGACAGTGCCTCCAGTGGTATAAGTTGGATGGATCCATGGTGGGTATGTGCATGGAAGTATAACTGCCTGAAACTCCCTTGGTGAACTGCACACCGAGTAGATGGTGATTTTAGGAGACTGCTGCTGCTGTGTGCTTTCTCTAGGTTGAATTGATGCAACTATAAACACTACTATGAAGAAAAAGGCATTTCCCAATCAATTTGTGAAATAGTTTATTTTTCTCTCTCTGTTATCATAACTTTTAACAATAAAAAAAATCCCATGACTCAAAGCTTATATTGCCCACATCCTATTTTCCGTGACAAAGAAGATAACTTGAAGATGTAATGATGATGATGATGAAGCTTTAGGAAATATTCAGTATTAGTAATATCAATTGTGATTTATTTTTAATTTATTGAATAATATAGAATAATAACATTAAGACAAAGAAGTTTCAGTTAGCAATGAAAACATTTGGAAATTCCTTACTTCACCTAGAAAATTTCCAGGAAGCCGTGTTCTGACAACATTCTACACATTATGGAATACTTAATTTCTGAAACAGTTTTACTGGAAATGACAAGGCTATTTATGGTCTAAAACATTATTCACCATGAACTTGAGTGTAAAAAATTGGCCTTGACTTTTGGATTGATTTATAAAGAAAAGAAATTATGTCAGGCAAATACACAACCACACATTTGTTATGGATCAGTGAGTGTCTAATAAATATTCCATGTTTTTGTAGCCCAGGTGATACCTTTACTCTCCAGTCTTCAAGAGCTGAATTTATCCTCAAATAAAAATGTGGGACTCTCATCAGATCCTCTTCTGGGCAGGCTCAGGTTTTTACCAAAGCTGAGATCTGTGACCATCAGCAATTGTGGCTTGGATGAAGAGTCCCTTTCATCACTAGGTAGGAATGTTTCTTTTAAGTGTGCCTGTTCTCTGTGTATGCTGTAGGAAAAAGCATTCTCTTCTCCTTTGGCTGAACTCCAAGGATCATGGGTACATTATACCTCAGGTCCCAAGTGAAAAAGCCTGTGATGAAACCAGTGCTTTGTGTGACCATGTTGCAAGGGAAGAGAATTGTATGACTTCCTCTACTATACCTGAAGGGGATGAAGTTCACTTAATCCTTTGTCTGATAGTGAGCTTTTATATACTCCTTAATTTTGGGGAAAAAAGAAAAACAGGATTTTATATTGTGCTATAATCATAGTCTGGATGTTACACTTCACTCAGTGGGGTAAAGTTTTGACTAAGGGTTTTTCACCTCACTGCAGGTAAAAATTTCAGTAGAAACTTTCTGGGGTAGAGTTCAGCACGGGGCAATGGGGGAAATGACTGCAGTGGTTTGAAGAAAAGTCCAATCACAGGATATGTAAATTCAGCCTCTTTTGCCTACTTATTGCAAATCTCTATGGATTAGTGGCCTTTGATAGGTGTTCCATCTGGCACATGAAATCTTAATACAGGGGATCTCTCAGTTATTGTGTCTTGTGCACTTGTATTTCAAACTATTTACTCATGACATTAAATCTGGAGTAAGACTTGACTGCCTCCAGAAGAAGCAGTAGCAAGCTAATCTTGTCAGAGGTCCTTGTAGAAAGAGTATTACGTTTATATCACTACAGTTATGTAAGTGACACCATGGAAATCAGAACCATCAAAAGATTGAGAGTATCTCACTTTAAATAGTGAGTTCACAGCAAAAGAATTTGCTCTTTAAATAGATATAAAATGGTTTAAAAGCAAGCTGTTAATTCCGTGCAACAAGGCCAAGGCAATAATGTGAATAGAAAGAGAGAAAATCTCTCTCCATAGAGTCCTGGTAGATTCTATAGGCAGAGCCCTTTTATTTTGTTTTGGCTGACTTTTATTAGGATAAAAGAATGCATTCTAAGCACAAGCAATCAGGCTGTTAGGATCCTACTTACGGGTGAATTGCAGGTGAGGTGTCTGTTGAGGCCATGTTGTTTTCTCTTAGTAAGCAGAAGTTACTGGTCTTAATCTTTTCAGCTGAGGCTGCCCTTCACCTTCCTGAACTGGAGATATTAGACCTTTCTTGGAATAAGTGCGTTGGTGGGAACCTAAAGCTGCTTTTGGGAGCACTAAAGCTTGCAACTGAGATTCAGGTGTTAAGACTGAGCAGCTGTAACCTGGTGGCTGAAGATTTGGCACTTCTAAGTAAGTATAACGTGGTATTTACTAGCACTCAAGGAACCCAGGGTATTTAGACCACAATTCAGAAGGGGCTTGTTCCATGGACTGAGCATGTTTTTGCATAAATCAAATGAAAACGTGGAAAATACAGGAGTGTTTTTCCTACAAAGGGCTTTCATTTTTCTGTGTGTCCTGGACATGCCCAGTGGAAAAGCTGAAAAGGCTAAAATGCAAAGAATCTTCAAGCACTTTTATGTATTAATGAAAAAATAAAAAGAAGCATCATTTAGAAAATGTAGGGTTTGCATCTGTTTTTTATATCAAATATTTAAAGCTGCCTCTGAGGAGTTTTATTTTGCTTGGATGCTGTTTTATGGCTCAGTAGTTTAGAGAAAATGTCTGTGCTGACAGCCAGGAATACAGGCACTACCAGCTCCCCGTCCATTAGGTGGGTTTCTGGAGTCAGACTTCTGGGGGAGAATTAAACCAGAAATGTTTTGATCTCTTAGCAGCTGCTAAGAAATACTGGAAAACAGGAACCAGATAAAGGAATAAATTCTAGAATAATTTAAAAACTTGCTAATTTTATACTCATCCTTGTGATTCTGTGGGCCTGACTCAGGGGTTTGAGTGTTTGACATTGGCAATAGCTGTGTGACAACTGTAATTCCCTGGAATGTGAAATCTGGTGACGTGAAGCCCAAATGCTTTTGACTTTAAAAATCATCACCCTTGATAGGTGTCTCCTTTGCCCATCATATGTTAAGGACCCCTTTGGGGTATATTTGGCCTTCCCACACTGAGAGGTGGCTGTTGTAGTCAAGGAGAAGGTTGTTGCAGCCTCACCTAGTTTTGCTTTCCTCTTTCTAAATCTCCCTATAAAGCCTGTCTGCCTCTTAATATTGGCACTTGAGGTGACCTCTTTCCAACTGACTCCAAGGTTTTCAGATTGCCACACACTTTTAACTCAATACTTTGTTCCTTTTGAACTGCCTGGGCTTTAAGTGTTTCAGCTGTTATAAAACTGTCTTTCTGAGGTCAGCAGCAAGTGGTTTTATGTTGCTGAAGAGTTAAATCTTGCTGTTTGATTGCTAAAATGCTGTATTAAAATACCATTGTCTTTTCCGAGAAGATTCTAAAGCAGTTGCCAGAATTTATTAGTTCCGTTTGTGTCTGTCATCTCTTGCAGCATCCCTGAGGCAAGATGGCCATTTAGCCAGATTGCAGAAGCTGGATTTGAGTTATAACAACAACATCTCTGATGAAGGCTGGGCTGTCTTCTGCCAAGGTTTAGGAGCATTCAAGGAACTCTCGGAGCTGGATGTGAGCCTCCGGCCGTCGTCCTGCCGGGACTGCGGGCTGTGGTTCAGGGAGTTGTTGGCAGCACTGACACAGCTTCCAGCCTTGGCAGAGCTGGGCATGCAAAGATGGGCCCTTTCAGAGTCCCAGAGGAAGCAAATGGAAGGCTTTAATCAAGACAACAGAAGAAACATTCGTTTTGACTGTTGATGAAGGTTGGAGGTGTCTGGAAGGCCTTTTGGGAGCAGCACATGAACCAAGCATTTTGTGTCTCAGACTGCAGTTTTTAATAATCTCTTGAAATAGTTCCACAATTATAGAAAACTGTTATTTGACCTTCTGCACCATAGATCATTCCATTTAATAATGTTCTTTCAGATTCTCTGGGCCATGCTTACACTACTTCATGTTGTGAATACTACCAAGGCCACTGCCCACAGAGCAATGCTGGGGTCAGAGGGACATGCTGCAGGTTTGGCCATGGAGGGAAGGGCTGGGGTTTGTGTTAATTCAGGTGTGTGGGCAGTGTGAATGTGGCCCCCAAAAATACCTCTAATGTGAAAATACTTGATACATCCATGTTTTAAATTTTAGCTTCTTCACCCTCCAAACATTTGCCCCTTTGTGAATTAATTAAATCATAACTGGGAGACTTTGCATCCATCCCAACAACTCAACATCATAGATTGGTCCAGGAAGGAGAGTACAAAAGGAGCTGGTCTGCCTCTGTTCTGGCCCTTGATGCCATCTCATAGTGTAGATGAGTCCTGTGTAGAGTCAGCATAAAATCAAGGTAAGAAACACTTAATTGGTGTCTTTGCAAGTCTCAGGGGCATGGTACAGTACATTAAATCAGAGATATGTCCTGCTACTGTAACAAGAATTTTGGATACAGAGTAATCAATAAATGCCAAATTCAAGTCACTTGTGTCATGGAGCATGTTAACCCACACGTGAGCTCCAGGACTGCAGTGGGATTATTCATTGTAAGGTATTTTAGGAAGTAAAGATATTAGATCTGCCCACTGAGTGAGGAGTCTTAGAGAAATCCTGAGGCAGCTTGAGGGATAAAGTACTGCTCAATTAGCTCTGAGCATCTCTACATGCTGCAGCAATTTCCTGGAGGAGACGCACAACAGGATCGTTCAGTGGCACTTTCCTAACTTGCTAAGGCCCCCTTCAGTAAGTTGTCCCCTGCAGATGCTGATCAACATTCAGCTTTCAGTTCATGTCACCCTTCCAACATCAGCTTTTGCCTGTTCAGGGCTATAACCAGCAGCTGACCATGCTGTGCTGATACCTATTGATCATTTAATCTATGATTTCATGTAAAAGTTACCCTGGACTTCCTGGTTCCGCTTTCAGTTCCACTTGAAAAGTGCACTTTACTCCCTCAGCTCTGAGAAATGTGAGTTGAACTGGAGTCTCTTGGTCAGGGGCAGCAGGGAATTGCTGTGTCCTAAACCTCTGAAATAATGCAAAGTGCCGCTGCTTCATTTAGGGCTAACAAGAGAGATTTCAAGACTTAATCCAGGACAGTTGTTCTAATGAGGAAATACCATCATGTCTGTTTAACAGACCAACCTGTTCTCTTTATCACTTGTCTTCATGTGACTTTCCTCCTCAAATGCACCTTTGATCCAACTTGGAAATTGATCTTTTATCTGTTGCATGAGAATTTCTCTGAATTATTCCTTTCCCACTTGTATCTCTCTCTCTCCACTTTACCTTTAATGTCCACTTTCTGTTGAAGTCTTCCTAACTGAACTCAACTTCAGTGTTGGGGTTTCTTGTTCTTTCACAGCTGGATTCCCCATTCTTTGCTCCAGAGCACAGGACAGACCCACTGCTGGCAAAACTGTCCCCTGCTCCAGATCCCCCTGCTCAGTCCTTTGTCCTCTTATTATTCTGTCATGCCAATTGTGCTACTTTGTTCCTTTTATCACCTCTACTAAATGTCTTGTCAATCTGCCAATCTGCCCAGAAATCTCTCATCCAATGATTTCCTCCTTGGCAGTTTCTGATTCATCTTTCTCTCTGTTCCTCTTTGCCTTCACTTAGGGTGAAAAAATTTCATTAGACATTTCAAAACAATCAAAACAGCCTCAGTTACCCAGTGAAATGGAAAATCAGAACAGAGCCGTCCCACTTTGCTGCAGTCCCAGCTCTTTCCTGCCAATGAGCATATAAATGAGATTTCAGTATCAAGCAAGAGCCAAACAGAAATGAGTTTCATACCCTGGATGCAGATTCAGCGAGCACTGCCTGGAGATGGAACTCTGGTAAGAGCTGGTCTCAGAGACCCTGCCCTCATCAACTGCCTCAGGGTGCACCACCTTCCCTGAGGCAAGGGGAGGGAGAGCAGGACTGCAGTTCTGACCAGCCAGTTAAACTAAACAAAAGGTTCTGCTCCCACCCACTCTGCATTTTGAACCTGCACAGTGGCTGGCTCCAGTCCAGCTCGATGCTCTATGTACACTGCAAATGACACTCAGGGGCTTAAGGGGTAGCTGAGCAATACAGAATAAAAACTAGACAAGGACATTGTGTGTCTAGGACAAACAGCTGTCTGCCTCTCAAGTGCCATGGAAAGACATGGTTGCATATAAATTTGGCATGCAAGAACTATAGCAATATTATGTTTGTCATGGTTCTTTTTAATAACAAAGGTGTTATGTTGTGTCAGAGCCAGAATCATGGCAGAAAATGCATCTTGCAGACCCATGGCTTTCAAATAAACCTGTCATACACAGACACATCCAAAACTGTCACCAAGCCACCTCAGAGATGAACAGTACCACTAAGGAAGTGACAGCTTGCAGTCATTCAAAGTGCAGTAACTGCAGATTGTCAAAACATCAGTGAACAGATTTGCAAAAGTGTGGAGATACTTTCAAACAGCTTTTTACACCTCTGTAAGACAGGATGGGAATGCATGTCCTGGTAGAAGTGTGTGTTCTGCCTGTTTGGAATCCCACTCCATATTTCTAAACAAGGTGCTGCTCATTCCTGGAAGCAAAGGGCATAAGTAAGGTTTATAAACTGTGATATTGTTGGGATCATTACTAAACACAGAGAGATAACATGAGTTTTAAATGCTGAGCTTTGATATTATTCCTGTTCTGACACTTTTGGCCTGATGCTGCAGCAGGTATCTAAAGAGATTACGAGTCTCTTTAGTCCTGCATTTGGGAGCAGCTGGAGTCCATGAATTTCCATGCTGCAGCAGAACAAGATCTTGCCCCTTCTATTGCTCCTGCATGCAATTTGCTTATGTCTTCTGGCAGACATTTAATTCCCTTATCTTGTCCCAGCTATAATTTTTCTAATGACTCCAGGAGAAAGATCTCCTTTGGAAAGATACTGAATTTATTTTCAGAAAGGCTAAGGCATTTAAAATTTTCAGTTCCTTCACCTCCACAGGTATCTAGACACAGTCATTAAAAAGATATATTATGTCAATTAAATAGTAATCTTTGGGATTTTGTTTTTAGGAAAGAAATCTCCTAAGAAAATTCTGTGGAGCTGCATTACTGTTGATAGATGAACACAGAATATTCTGCTCATTAATGTCACATTATACCTCACAGTATGGTGGAAATGTTGGCAAAGACATCTATGTTGTTTCCTGTGCTGGAAAGATTTCTTATGGGTTTAATTTTATTTCTTAGTAGAAACATTAGTCTGCTTCTTCATTTCCTTTGTATGCACAGTGCAGGGGAGAGCAATTTAAATTATTGAAATCTGAAAGTGAGTGTTTTGCATAAATTACTACTTCTGTAAATGTAACCTTCAAGTAGAAAACTGCACCAGTGGAAAAAAAAAATCTTTGGAATAAAAACATTGCATTATATAAAAAGGAAGATGTATTCTGAATCCTAAAATGAGGATGTCTATGAATACTCTTACACTTACCATAATCCAAGGGTGCATAATTGGTCATTATCAAATGAACAGCAAGTGTTCATGCAGTTAAAGACATTAACAATATCACATCAATTTTTAAATTGCCCTTTTCTCACTTTGTGACATATTGATTCTGTGCAAATGCAGCTCTTGTTTTCCAGTGTACACAGAAAGAAAATACGTGAAAAACTTCAGCAATCCCTCCAGTCAAGATTCCATCTTTATGATTCAACACAAAGATCAGTGTTTCCACATTCTTGCTTTTTTCTCCCTGCCTGAATACTGAGATGCCAGCGATAATGAGGAACCCGGGCTCGGGTGTGTACCAGTGGAATGTCCCTTCTCACTGTGGAAGGGAAAGGTGACACTTGGCTCCTAATGGAGAACTTGGATTGTGCAAAAGGGAGGTATCAATCAAATAAAAATTAAAACAGAGGAACAAATACATTTTTCATAGTGCACATTCCTTTAGTAATAGCATCAAAGTGTTTTTCACTCAGATCTAGCGTCCTGACTCTGATTACCCTGGTGGGGGATGCAGGTGCAGTGTGTAATGTGGTGTTCCTCACGTAAACATGGGAAAGGGAAGCAGAGCTGCTGTGTGTGGGGTCTCCTCCAGGCTGTCCAGACAGTCTGAATGCCCTCGTGTCAGAGAGATTCTTCGAACCTGGGGGAAGTTTGTGCAGGAGATTACAAGACAGACCCAGCACAGACAGCTCCTGGCAGTGCTGCAGTGCAGGAAAATGGAGCCTGCCTAGGAGGGAAGTGGTGAAATCACCAGAGGGATTTATTTGCTGGAAAGGGCCAGCGCAGGAATCTTTGAAGGAGCAGCTGATCCGTGTAACCATGGACAGCTTTGCAAAGGCTCCTCAGAGGCAAACTCCGTGCTCTGGGGCGGGGTGAGGAGCCTGCCCTGCCCCGTCCGCAGGTCTGGGCAGCACCGGGGGCTCCTGGCAACCCCCGCCCGCTCCCTCCTGCTGCCGGCCCGGGACACACTGCTCTGGAATGGGCTCCGGGACACCCTGCTCTGGAATGGGCTCCGGGACACCCTGCTCTGGAATGGGCTCCGGGACACCCTGCTCTGGAATGGGCTCCGGGACACCCTGCTCTGGAATGGGCTCCGGGACACCCTGCTCGGGAGCGGGCTCCGTTACCGAGCTCAGCTCGGAGCAGCCCGGTTACCGAACTCGCCCCGGGCCGGTCACCGCTGGCTGAGCTGGGGACAGGGGAGAGGTGGTCACTGCTCAGGTAAGGCTTGCGGGGCTCAGAAGAGATCGCTTCTCTGTTAGCTCAGATATTTTATCTCTGAGTTTATTACAGAATATGCTGAGCTGGAAGGGACCCACAAGAGTAATCAAGTTCAACTCTGAAGTGAACGGCCTGCCTCGGTGTTATTAGCACAGTGCTCTAACCAACTATGGCACATCAAAAACACACCCACCGTTTCCCTCATGCTTTTCCTGTATCTGTTACTCCAAACCACGAGTTGTAATCCTTTCCAGACCGAGCCCATTTATATTGTTATTCAGATCCCTCCTGGTTGCTAGGCTGCCAAAACGATGCAGTAACACTTGGTTTTGTTTTCCAGCAGGCCATGTCGGTTCTTCCAGATCTTCACCTGCATTATGTGCAGACCTGTCAAAATTTGAGCCAGCCTGAAAACCCCTTCATTGCTCGTGTGCTTCAAGAAGCTGATAAAAATGATGAAATGTAAGGAAATAACAAACGGGGTGTTTTGGATGCTTCTGAAAGCCTTAAATGGGGTAGCAAGATGAGGAATTGAAAAATGAGAAAGTTCATGCAGTTTCAGGCTTAAACACAAATCAAGTTTAACATTTGCTGCTGAAGTTCTGGTTTGACTCATCTTGACATCATCTTGGCAGAAGTTTGTAGCTATATATCCTTTCTGGGCAGCTTTACAAGCAGTGAAATAAAAAAAAATGAAAAATGTACAGGATGGTGCCTTTCTGTCCCCTAAAGAAGCCAAACCCTGGGTTTAGTCATCCTAACTCCTTTCTTTGTGTCTCACTCCTGTTCAAAAAGCCTCAGCTGCATCCAGTTACCTTCCAGCTGGTCATGCTTCCCTGAGCTGCCTCTGGATCCTGCCAAGCTATTAACCACCCAAATTCTCTCTCATTAAGGGTCTGGGTACTGCTTCTTCTCATGGACAATGCTGGGATCAAAGTTAATTGTCTTTTGGGGGGAAAAAAACTAAGGAAATGAAATGGTTTGTGTTAGGTTTTGATCACATCAGTGCTTGGATCCCATCATCTGTCGTGGTGTTACAAAAGGACTGGCAGCAGATAATCCTGTGCAAGAGCTCCAGTGAGGGCAGGCATGGGCACACCTCTGATCTGGGGGGAGAATTTATTTCTCTCTATCATTTTACTTCTCCCCATGTGCTTACATTTTTATGTTTCTGCAGAAGTACAAAAGGAATCACATTAAAATTAGCTGGAAATAATCATCTGGTGCCTGTGCCAAGAGTGACAGATGACGATCTTGGAGTTCTTGTCTCTGTCTTAGGCCAAGCTGCCTTTGTCACAGGTAAGGTTTTTCCAGGTGTGTTTGACATTGCTGTGCTAATACAAGAAAACATGATCAGTCTTGATTTCTGCCTTAATTCATCTTTGTTTCTTTTTGTTCAGAAATCAGTTCAGTGCAGATATGCATCTGTCACATTCCTTATTCTTCATCTTTTTCAGGCTTGGATCTTGCCTATAATTTATTGACTGATGCTGGAGCAAAGACCATGGCAACATTCCTCCAGGTGCCAAGAGATGTTTATCTTTCAGCAACTTGCAATTTATTTCTCTATATTAATATTTATATATGGTGTACTGGAGACAAAAATGAGCTGGTTTGGCAAAATTCCGGTAACTTTGACTATCACATCCCAATCCATCCTATTAGAACCTCAAATTGTATTCTCTGTGGAGATTTTTAATTTCTGGTAGAAGACCTTTGGATATTTGGCTGGGTGTCCTGAGGAAATAATGATGGAATAAACGATGAGGCTTTTAGGCTCACAGTTCAATTCAACAAAGGGGATAATGGTTGTGTCCAGTGTGCAAGGGCCTTTGTTTCAGCTATTTTATAATCTCTGTTAGCCTTTTTATAAGCCTAAACATAAGGAATTCTAATGCAACTTTTTTGTCTTTACAAATACTGGGATACAGGTGGAAAATAGTGAGTTGCCACCCTGTGCCTGTGTTCCTAGAATTTCAGGGGCACTGTTAAGTTCACAAAATGCCTGAAATTGTGCATCTGAGCTTGACCACCTGCCTTATGCACAGGGTTTCTGGGTGGTTCCTGAGACCCCATGGGGGCCCTCCCTGTGACAGATTTTACGTCTTGCCCTCATCACCTGACATAATTTGGCATTCTTTAACTACTTCTCCAACTCATGAACTGCCTGAAATGCTGTAAAGGGCAGAGTTTTTCATGTGTATCTCCTTTTTAGAAAATACAGCTGTATTGAAAAAACCTCTCATTGCTTCCTGCTTTGTTTGTTCCCAAGGAAAACTCCACTCTGCGGTACCTGAACCTGATGTTCAATGACATTGGCACAAGTGGGGCAGAGCTGATAGCAGGAGCACTCCATGTGAGTATTTGCCTGGGAGATTTAGGCAATGGCATCTCCTTTGATATTTTTTGCTTTTGATGACCAGTACTGGTTGTGCTGCCAACATCAGAGCTGGCTGAAAGGGGCCTCTGTCTTTGCTCCATTCAGCATGTTGCTGTGTCACAGAGATTGCCTGGTTTCCCAAGGCACACTTCAGAAATCAGATTTCACACAAGAGAAAGTTGCACTGTGCTGCCATTAACACTTAATTATCTATAAAAAGACGTAATTGTCTATAAAAAGCACAACTATTGCAGCTGGGTTTTTCCATGTGAATAATGCTGTGCTACAGGATATATAATGCCATCATTTTTTCCTTTTTTTTTTCCCCAAAAAATTAAATTAAATTTGCCTGGACTTTGACATCAATATTTGTCTTGATTCAAGATGTCTGAAACATGTTTTCAAAACTTTGCCTTACAGCAGCACCACAAACCCGAGTTTGTTATTTTAAATGTGGTTTCCCAAGGAAATGAGGCTTGTGTGTAAGATTTGTTGTGTTTGTGAAAGAAGACTCACATGAGCTCTTTCTTCCTCCTTCACAATCTTTGAACCCTGAATTGATTTCAACTAAATTTGACAGGCCTCCAAAACACTAAGGCTGTGCAGTAGATGTACAATGCTGGGCTCACACAAGGCTTACCAGATTTAAATCAGTGTTAATTCAGTTTGCATCTCAGATGCAAATTTAGGCAGAAATATTTGCCTGGATTATTTTCATGAGTGCGATGAAATTCATGAACTTGGGAGAAACAAAAGTTTTCAAATACAGGAGTTTTGCTTGCAGACTCTTATGTTTGGTGTCACTGAGGGGAGCCTGAGCCAAGAGCTGAGCCAGTGTTATCACTTAGACACAATTCTTCTGGAACGTTGTGTTGTCTCTGTGTGACAGCCAGCAGAATTCACACCAAAAAAAAAAACAGGACAGTGTTGTTTTCCAGGCCATCTTAAAGGGATATTTATTTTTTTTTTAATTATGTCTAGAGCAATCAAAGTCTTGTGCATCTGAGAATGACTGGAAACAAAATAGGAAACCAAGGTGGGATGTTCTTTGCTTCAATGCTAAAAATGAACTCAACCTTAGAGAAGTTGGATCTTGCAGACTGTGATGTGGTGAGTAACCCAGTAAAATTATCAGCAATAACACGTAAGTCTTTCAAGGGTATTACAAGGGTCCTGCAGTGCTTAATTAGGGAGAAATGCCATCTGTTGTCATTGATTTTGTGACAGCTAGAGGTAACACAATATATAATATTGTAAAAAAGGAAAGACACATTGCATAAAGCACCTGTGAAGTCAGAACTGGGGATATTTTAGAGCTACTGTGTTTCTCTAGGAATTCAGGTGCTTGGCTTGCACATTTTCTGAGGTTTTTTTTCCTGCTGTTCCTTTCTGTTGAGCTAAGTCCTTTATAATTCCTGTTGAAGAATGGACTTCTCATTCCCTGGAGAATCTTTTCCTTCTAAAGTGTGCAGTGCTGTAACCCCTGAAAGTCACTCATCCCATAGCTTTGCTGCTCCTCTCAGAGCTTGACCCATAAAGGACATAAGCACAGCAGTGCTGAATTGAGTAGAAAAGCACCCAATTTACTCTTGGACAATGAGGTTCCTCCTAGAGCTGGGCACTAAGACTTCTAACACAGTGCTCCAGGAGACTCAAGGGGCTGTGGATTGCTTTTAAAAGCCTACATTTTTCTCCTGGAAATTCAGAATTAGTTTCTGAGCCAGAAGGGGGAATGCCCCTCAGAAAGTGTGAAGGTGTTATGAATACATGAACAAGGAAAGTGTAGGCAGTGTAGGATTTATTCAAAAGCTTGGTATGTGTGTGCTTGGTAGGGAGTTGATAAGAGTTGGTTTAAAATGAGATGTGTAGACCAGCCTAATTGAAAAGTAGCATAAATATGAAATAGAGGGAAAATTAGAAAGATACTAAAATAAATAAATAAATATAAGTTTGCCCAATTCATACTAAATATGAATTTACCTGGTGGATAAATCTTAGGGGAACACACATAAGCTGATTTTGCCTCATAAATCAGGGAATTTAAAATGCAGGATCAATTGAATGGAGAAGTATTTTTTTAGATCCATTATTCTTGCTTTTTATTTTCTGAGTTGCCAAGTCATTTGTACTACTTAGTCTAATTTCAGTCTGATATTCCATAGGCAGTTGGCATTGGTATTATCAGAAAATCTGTTATGTGTCTGTAAGCAGTTGCCTGCTGTAGTCCTAACCGTCTAGAGTAGATAAAGGCAGAAATAATAGTAATGGTAATTTGGTAGCTTGATCTATACACTGAACAGGTTTCTCTGAAGAGTTTATTTATTTTCATTTCCAGGGCCTGCAGTGTCTGACAGCAACAGCCATAGCCCTGACTCAAAACAAATCACTCAAAGCCATAAACCTAAATCGTCCTTTGCTATCCAGCCAACAGGTATGTGAGTGACTGTGGAGTCAGCTCAGAGAGAGGGGCATAAGCCAAGTCAGTACTGATGTATTTATGGACATCTGAACTACACAGCTCCATGGAATTCCTTACAAACTGGAGAAAATGGTTGCAGGAATATTATTTTTCTCTTTCTGTGCCAAGTTTTGGGCAGTTTTTCTGCCCTGGTTTAACTAGAAGGTTAATTTTTTTAAAATTTCTGTGTTGTCACATTTGTTAAATAATGGGCTAATGGAGAGGAGTTGGTATTGGAGAAGCAAGTATTCCTTCTGCTGTTAGGACATGGAGTTTCCTGTAATGTTCAGCAAACTGAGGGAGCCATGCAGGAAATGAGGGGGAGCACAAAGGATGCTCTTTACCTGAGCCTAAAGAAGAAAGACACTGCAGCAATTCTCACATTCTCTGGGCTGAGTGGTTTTGCTGTCTCACTCAGTGCATGGCTGGTGCTGCTCAGGTCTTGGCAGAACTGGAGAGAGGTGGAGTCACCTGCCTGGCAGCAGTTCTCAGGTGTCTGGGACAGGATCAGTGTTTTCCTGATGGCAGGATAATGAAATTAAAGTGTCATGAAAGCCAGATCCTCCTCAATTCCCAAAGATAAATTTAACAGTTTGAACAGATTTTAGTTGTTTCTTTTCTAAGACTGGGCTTGATCTGCCCAACCTCAGCTTTGGAAGTCAATTTAAACTACTGCTATTGGTAACAGTAAGGACCTGCTCTGGACCTGTCAGAGACTGTATTTGTCATTGTTTCTACCTTCAATTTCTATAATTTTCTGAGGCTTCTGGGCTTTTCTTTTATTTTTGACTCACAATATTCATTCTGTTATTTTCTTAACTAAACAGGACAACTTTGAACAAAATTCCTTTGCCTTCGAGTGGCAAGACATATTTTTCCCGTAGAAGTCCTATTTCTTTTGTATATAATCAACAGAACCTTTAAAGTTGGAAAAGATCTCCAAGATCAAGTAAAACTTAGACCAATTCATTCTTGCATGAAATAATTAGCATAATTACAAAATACTCTCAAATGTTAGCAAAGACTGACTCAAACATTCAGGTTTTTTAAGAGCAATAGCAGGGAGGGAAACTGATTAGACATAATTAAATGTTGATGCTTCACTGATATTTGCAGGGGTGTAGACAGTACTGTAAAACTGAAAATATCTCTATAGTATTTTTAGTCTCTTTTTTTTTTCTTTTCTCCATTTTTAGCTTTATCATAAGCTCTTCTGTGGTTATTTTTATACAATATACAAAATAGAACACTACTGATGACCAGATCTTGCAGTCAGTTGCGTATCTCCCTTTTACTGAAGCACAACTGTATCTTATCCTAAAGTCTAGCTTAATAAAATTGAGTGTATGTTTCTAGGAAGAGTCCACAGTTCATATAGCTCGGATGTTGAGGAGTAATTCTTCTCTTGTGGAACTACACTTGGGCAAGCATGAAATGAAAAGCTTTGGTGTAGAGCAACTGTGTGAAGCCCTGTATGGAAACTCCAGCCTGAAATACCTTGACCTTAGCTGGTGAGAGTGATTAAATGTGGCACATTAGAAACTCATTTTCTTAGCAACTTATAAAAAAAAAAAATAAAATGTGCACCTCTCTTTCAGTAATAACATAATCTGTGATGGAGTGAAATTTTTGGGAAAGCTACTAAAAAAGAACCAAACCCTGGAGATCCTGGATCTTAATGCAAACCGAATAGAAGACGATGGAGCCATTTACCTGAGTGAGGCCTTGTCAACGTGGAACAGGAGTCTGCAGGTGTAAGTATTTGCACTGGCTTCCCCAGAGGCTGCAGGTGAGAAACCTGGACTTTGCAGTGCCTAAAACGGCATCACAGCTCTGCGTCTTCATATTGATCAAAATAGGAAGGTCAAGAAACTCCAAATGTTTTAGACAATTTTTCCTTCTTGGGGAAAAAAAATCCCATGAGAGATTGGGTGGGATTTCTTTAATAAGCATTAGTCTGCTGCAATGTGAGATGCTCCAAGACCTGTGAGACACCCTGGGGTGCTGGAGGTGAGCCCCAGGTGTGCTCAGAGCTCTCACAACTTTCACAGTCCCTCTAAGAGGGTGAGGGGTGAGGCGATTGATCTGTTCATTCTTTCTGCGTCTTTGAAGCGCAGGTCCCTGTGGTACACAAACGAAAACAAGAGCTGTAGATGTTCAGAATTTTGAGATAATCAGATTCCACGCTGGGATAAGGCACTATATTTGTTGGTTCTGATCTTCAACACTTAAGAAAATCCTCTGTTTAAGTTCGCTTCCGGGTGAACCCAGAAGAGCTGTAATCTCTCCATCAGGGTCTTTGGCAGCCGCATTAAACTCCTGCCGGCAGGATGTAAAAGCTGATCAAAGGTGTTACCTGAAGCCATTAGTTCTAAGTAGCAGACTGAGGAGGTGGTGACTGTGAGGTGCCTCTGAAAGCCTTGCAGGTTCACTAATATAAAAATAACTGACACTCCACAAAGATCAAAGCTTAGCCTGGATAAATGCCAAGGCTTGGGCTTCAAAGCAGACTAGAGATGAGACCTGGCCACCATGCAGCAAAGTCACTGACACTGAAGAACTCAGTAGTGAACAACCTGGCTGCAGGAGTCAGGAAAGTCCTTTGAGAAATAGAATAAGTACAGAGGCCAACTGCCTTTGGCTACCTGAAAAGGATATTAGAGTAGGACTGGCTTTCATACAAATAAATAATTATATTATAAATAAAAAAGTTCTATGTATGTATTATATATGTAATGATAAGACTAAAACATAGTTAAATTCTTATTTTTAACTAAGAGACGGGAATTCTATGGTTTGGAACATATTTTCTCTGTTTTCTAGGTTGTCTGTTGTAAGCAACAATATAACTGGCAAAGGACTTTTAGCTCTTGCACATGCAATACAATCCAACATGAAACTTTCCCATATTTACATCTGGGGCAACAAATTTGATAAAAGCACCCGTGTGGTAAGTGTTTGTTCTGAACTCACCTGAGAAGGCTGGGGTTTGTTTGTTCTTACTTGCTTTCCATTGTTGGGAAGACTGCAGCAATTAGTGAACAAGACACCCGGTTTGTTTGGGGGTTTTATGTGGTTATAATCTGGTGGTGCTGGAATGAGGCTCGCTGGAGATCAGCACACTGAAGGGACTAAGTGCCACGTGTCGCCTTGCAGAGCCTTCACCGCGGTCCAAAGGAAGCAGCACGTGTCAAATTCCTGGTTTTCTCCATTCCAGGTATTCTCAGAGCTGATTGGGATGGGCCGCCTGGAGCAGGGCTGCACAGACGTGGCTCCCTACGAGGTGGATGGCGAGGTTTTCCTGGCAGAGATGTCCCACGGGCTGGGCAAGCACCGCTACTGGGCCCCACGCTGCACCACCGTGGCCCCCAACGCCGCCAACGCCAGCCTGGCGATCCTCCCTGTCTCGGAGTATTTGTGAGTGAGGCAGCACCCCGGGGCACTCCCTGCGCCTGAGCTTTCCCTACTTGGTGTCTAGTAAAATAGTTTATATCAGTATCAGGCTCGCTGCATGTTGTTTCTTTGGGGTTTGAGTCTAGGAGGAATCTACCTCTGCTTGAAATGGCAACAGAGAGAAAATATCAAAGAAATTACCTCAAAATTTGTTGCTAAATAGTGCTCCATCTATTAAAAGTCTGTAACTATGGTAAGGTTTGTACCCAGGCAGAGCACACAGACAAAAGCAACATCCAGGACTGCTGCTGGGCAGCAGATCAGGTATCCTGCAGTCAGATTCCTGCTGAAGCTGAGACCTTTGGGTAAATCCATTTGTTAGAGCTGTTCTCCTTGTTCTCTTTCATTTTCCTTATCAATTACATCCTTTTGATCTTCCAATAGCGACTTCTTTTAAACCAAGGTAAGTGAACTTGAGCATTAAGCCACAGCCATGCCAGAATTTAAAGCTGGTGAACCCAGTTTGCTGGGATATACACAGAATTTTGATTAAATTGTAGCACATACTTGTTTCTTCTACTACAAATAGAAACCACCACCAAATCTGGTGCTATCATTTCTTCTCATCTCATGAAAACTCCCTAAAAACATTTGTAGCATTATATCCCTGTGGCAATTCCTACATGAGTAAGACAACATATGCATGTAATAGTAGTTAAACATTGTTTAACTGTTTGGACAGACTTTGTATAAGTTTGGGAATCACACTGCTAGTTTCCCTTTTGCATTCACTCCGCACATCCCTGCAGAAGTGACTTAACTTGTGCTCCTAAACAGAAAAAGTCACCAAACAGAACAGCAGAGGTTTGCTCCAAGCCTTTCATTAATGCAACCTTTTGTCCCTCTAAATGTGCCTGTTAAATATTAGCATAAAGTACCAGAATGATCTGTGACTGTATGTACAAGATCAAAGCATGAGGCGAAAAATATAAGAAAGCAATTTCAGTAAAAATAGCTGGGAAGCAGCAGGGTAACTGCTTGCTGCTCTGACTCACTGTGACTCTGACTATCACTGTGGGAACTGCAGGAACAGGAAGACATTTAGACACCTCCTCCCCAGCTGAAATGACCAGGGCAGTTGTGAGAGCTGATGCAGGTGGAGGTTTTTTGTTGTTTGGTTGGTTTGTTGGGTTTTTTTTTTCATTGCCTCCACCCCCAAACACAAATTAGTCAGGCTCTTGCTCCAAGAGCCCCTGGTATCCTGAGAGGACTTAGAGCTAAGCCCAGGGCAGGTATGTTTGTTCTGCATACCTGCACAGGGCCCTCCCAGCCTGAGGTCACTCTGTTGAGCACAAAGTCCGTACATTACCCTGTGAGCACCCAGCTCTAGAGAGGAGCTTGTATTTCAGCTCTTGCTCAACAGGAAGGATGCAGCAACGAGAAATAAAGCTGGGGATACACTGAACATGGTGGCTTGAGAAGAATCTGCACACTATGAGCATTCCTAAAGTTTGAAATAATTAGATAAGCCTATGTTGGTACTTTTGAGTGTTGCTGCTCTGGATCATTACAGATGACACTCTGATAGTGTCAGACACTGACACACTGGTGACAGAATTTCTTGCTAGAAACAACCCTATAAGACTCAGGTATTTTTTCCATGTATCTTTCTTTCCCTTGTCAGGTATATGAAGTTCAGTCTAATTCCACTGTTCAAATTATTTACTTGTATGAATGCCATTTATTAATCTGAGGTGGTAACAGGTTCCTGATTCTACCAACAGCAGTATTTTGGTTTTAGTGATGTGGTAAGATAGCAACAATACTACAGTCAAAATATATCAGGTAAAATGGCATCTAAAAGTGCTGGTGTATGTGTTTGAAGTACTTGCACTCTATCTGAACCCTTGTTTAACAGCAACATGTTCAGCCCTTAAAGCCCTCTTCATTACTGACAATATCCATAAAAACAGCTCATGTGTTACAGTTTTCATTGATACTCCTGTGTAAGAAAGGGCTGCAGAGTAATTCCTACCAAATTCTGTATAAACAGCGTCCTGCAAACTAAAACAATTATTTGTGCTAAACCCTGTATTGCTTAAAGAGGCCTGTGCCAGAGACTTTTATTTCTTCCTTCCTCTGACCTTGAAATTCTTAAATGTATCTTGTATTCTTTGGAATGAGAGAATTTACACAGGCTAGATTTTTTTTGCCACATTCTTCTGAGTTATTCAGAAGTTAAAGCAATAATAATCCTGCTCTGAAAACCATTTTTTCTGCTTTTAGACCTCACTGTGCCTTGCTGAAAGGCAGCATTTTCCCCCCAGTTTTAGAGGGGAAGCCAATGAAGGCAAGTGACTGACCCAGCAGGGCAGGGGTGCAGCAGAGGTCCCCCAAATCCCACTGTGTGCTCCAGGGGCCCCCACGGTCCTCATGCCAGGGTGGTGCCAGGGGTTGTGTCTGACTGGTTCCCTCCTGCTTTTGTCGCTACCCCTTGCAGTTATAAACAGGAGACACGAGGTGAGGGAAAATTATAAAACAAGTTTATTAAAGTCTAACATAAAACACTTCAGGCTAAATATGTACAACTCTCTCCCTTCCCAGGGGATTATAAAATTGAGAGTTGAGGTATATACAAATAACAGAGGAGAAATTGTATATACATGACAGATACTTTAAAAATAATTTAACCAAAACAATCAGTTATTAGTCCTTATCTGAACTTAGTTCTGCAAGGCTTATTGAGCCTCTCTGGGATCACAGCCCTGAAATCCTTCATGTAGGACTTGTCTGTACTTGAAAATTGTTTTGTAGCACATGATTTCAGAAAGGTTGTCATGCTTTGTGCCCACTTAGAGACAATAATTTAGAAGTCAATGTGTTACAAGGAGCTATTCTTACCCAAGTACACCCAAACAGCCAATTCAGAGATTTAGAGATGCAGATAAGCTATTCAGGCAAAACTTGCACCAGCTCCAGTGCAAAATTGACTGAAACAGCAGTGTGACAAAACATGTCATATTCTTTGTATTACTCTTAATAGAATTATTGAAATTCTTTCTTTTCTTTTGCCAGGACACATGCCTAAAAAGTTTCCATGCTCTCCCATATTAATCCCTTACAGAAATTATCAATACTGTTATAAGCCTTGTACTTCAAAATGAATCCAGAATCCTTAAGCCTAGGACTTAAATGTGCATCTGATTTCCATGCATCTATTGGCAAAAGGTACAGTCCAGACCTACAGCCTGAACACACCTACAAATATATATATACTTTTATATATTTATTTATTTAAAATCTATATTCTAGTAAATGAATACAGTTGGTAAAGATCATACCTCAGCAGCTGAGATATCTTCATGAAAGATGAGGATAAAAATCAAGGTTCTCAGATGGGGACTCAAGAGTGCAGGTCACTAAATTATTGCTCCAAGACAAAACTACAAGCCTGTGTATTCTATTAAGAAAGGTTAAAATTGTTGTCTTGTAAAAAATAATGAGTATCTTCTTGTCTATAAAGAAAACTAAATGACTAATAAAGCAACTGTTACTGTTATAAGTATCTAAACAAATCCTGTATAAATCTAAGCACTGTATTTTTTAAAAAAGTCTGAAATCTAAGAATACAGTAATAAGCTATAATTTTAGAAATATAAAACCAGTCCAAACAAACACTGTTATGGAATGCATTTTCTGTGTAGGAATGTAGTTATTGTTTAGGTTTCTTTCCAGAGCTATTCTCTCTCCTGGTCATTTATCCTGGTTATGTTTATCCTGAGTTGCTTTTCCTCAGGCATCAGCAGTATATCATTAGTTCGTCTTCCAAAGCTGTTTAAATATGCAAGTTATCAGTTGTATGGTGTTTTCTTTCTCAGTATTCATGATTACACCTATGTCTATCCCAAGATTTCTGCTCTATTTTCAGAGAGACAGCAAAGAGGAAGCTTAGTACAAGCTACACACAGTCAAGATCCCAATTTTGTAGTTCTTCAGTCTTAAATGGCAAGGCTGAGGAATCGCTCAGGGGCTACAGCAACAACAGAAGCTGAGAGAGACAAGAGGGGAGACAAAGGGAAATGCCAAAAATAAAATACCAGAGAACTTGATACTTTGTCTGTTGCCAGCATTATGAACATCAGCTGTTCATAAGTGTTGTGGGACAGACAAGCAGAGAAATTAAAGGCCCTGCAATAATTAACTCCAGTGGGGACAGTGTGAGAGATTCCTGCATTAGGGATGTTCCTGTTGAACATGGCTGTAATCCTGCTGGCCATGGTAGACTTCATCAGCAAATCTACCATATATTAAAGCATAAAATGTGACCAAGCAGCAGGTTATAGACATGCCCCATACTAAAATGATCAACACAAAGCAGCAAAAGGTCTATTAGTTTACAAATACAAACATGTAGGAAGAGAAAAAAAAAATAATTATAGTCACATCAGGAGTCAGGGGACATTTTCAGACTCTTTAAATGAAATCCCTCAAGAAATTTTTCACAAGTCTGTTTAATTAAGGTGCAGATTAATTATTACTCCACATAGAATGGAATCAGTTAAGAGGTATCTTCTATGTTCTTCTATGTATCAGCGTCTGGACACAAGGCATCAGTGGAAATAAATGCTAGCACCAAGTAAATGACCAACAAAGGATAGCTTTAAATGCATTGTTGGTACAGTATCATGACTGTTTCATTACTGTTTGATGATTACATAAATAATGCTTACAATTGTTAACGGCACAAACTGGCAAAATAGAGTAGAAAAGTACTTCTATTGTCATCTAGTCTTTTATGACCCTACCAAGACATTAAAATGTTGCTTTTTAAACATGTCTGTTGCTAGTAATAAAGCCTGTCTTTACCTGGGCCTTGCTAGGTACCAGTTTTGTGCAGTTACTGTGGACATGAGAGGTAAAGCAATACAAAAAACTTTAATTAAAACAAATCAGTTAAACTCTAGCAAAACCTTGCCTGGAAGAATATCAATCTGCTCTGTTGTATTATTCTTTAATGCCTCCTCATGT